TATATAGTATATATATATATATATATATATATATATATATATATATATATATATATATATATATATATATATATATATATACATATATGTATATATATATATTTACTTATTTATTTATTCAATATTTATTCGATTATTTATTTTTCATTAATTAATCAATCATTTATTTATTTGTTCACTTATTTAATTAATTAGCTGATTAATTAATTAATTTATTTATTCATTTGTTTATTTATCCATTTATTTATTTATTACTGCTTTTGCGCTGCTCCTCACTCATTCTCTTCAAGAGTGTAGTTGACTCTTCTAGTTTCACTTAAATCATAAGACTTTGCAAAATTTAAGTCATAAATTCATACAGCAAAACCATTTTTCCTCGTCGCAATATGGTCATTATTTTCATTCGAGTTTGATTTTAACGTCAAAAAGTTGAACTTGTGGTATAAAAGCACTTGTCAGTATTTTCATTAAACCTTCGGACTGTTTTTATACTCTGTTAGTAATGTGTACAGTGTTGCCACGTATCGTTGTTATTGTTCGTGACCTTTGCTAAAAAATTTCTTAAAATTCCCTACTTGTGTATAATCGCCACTTTTCATTTCCTTTCAGCATGACTTCAACCGCTTCGGCAGTGCCATTATTTGGAGTTATGCCGCAGACTGCAACTGGTATGACTACCGTAACAGCTAATGACTTTACCTTGTAAGTGTTTACCAACTTGTACATGTTTTTATGCTGTAGCTAAATTGGTCTGAACTGAATTTATAAGTAGTTTAGAATAGTCTGGTTTGAAACATATGCTTGAGAATCAGGCATTCTAGGATATTTTGCTTAATTTTCTTTTCTAATCTTTTGATAAAATTTTTTACCAGGGCCAAATATTGTGCAGTCTTTTGAGCTCCTTTTTGTCTTTAAAATATATTATATCTTTCTTGATTTCACTAAGCCATTGATCATTGATATGTTGCAGTGGACAATTAACAGCAACAACAGCAGCAGCAATGGTAACAACAGCAGTAAGTTCTGCTTCGTTGCCAATTATGACGTCCTTTTTACAATCTACCACAACTATGCCTACCACAAGTACATCAACCGGTTCAACACTGCCTTCATTACTATATTCATCGAAAACAATCGCAGCTAATTCACCAGCTGCTTCTGCCGTAACAGTTACAACTGCAGCTTCAACAATAACTTCAAATGCTTTAGCTGGCGCTATTCCTGCTGCTACTGCTATTACGTAAGTTATATTTGTTCCATGTTATAATTGAAGTTTCGATTTGTGGACGAAGAAGATATAAGGAAGAAATGGATGAAAGAGGTAAGTCAGCCGCAGATTAGTTGTTGTGCTTTTAAAAACTGAACATCTAGAAATGGCTCCTCCATAAAGCGCTGCAAATGCTGTTAGCAATAATTTGAAGTGTAGACAGAGATGTGGATTTGATTAGTATGGCGAGTTTTCCTTTCTTAGTAACCAGAAGTATTTTAACTTGACATTCGATCCCTTCATTTTTGTTTTTACAGAATCATTTTTTGTATTCGTTTGTTAGGGGTATACAAGTTACAAGTCTCAGTTGTTTCCATTATATATACCCGTTAACTAATTTCTGCAGATCTGATAAACCAGTCACATTTGCACAACTGGAGCAACTTATAAATCGTTTAACACTTGATGTCGAAACACAGCAGCGTGTTTTTATGTCCAGAGTACTGGAATTGAATGCATATGATCGTGTTTTGCGGGCAAATCAGCAAAAGGTATGGCTTTCCATTTTTTTTTTTTTTTTTGCTTATTTTTAGGCTAAATCAGCTAAAAGGTATGGTCTTTCCTATTTTTTTTTTTTTTTTGCTTATTTTAACCT